CACGGATCATTGCCCTGCAGATCCAACAAAGCAACGATCAAACCATWCATGATCCGTATACATGTCGGTTATGACATTTGAACTTCATCAGTAAGAAGAGAGATGACTGCAATGAGTTTACTTTATCAAAATAACAACAGTTTTGGTATAATTCTAATCTGATATCCTGTTTCCATTAAATTTCTAGTAAAAAATGAACGATGGTGGTCTAAACGATAAAAGGGTGTGTGACACATGTAACTACAATAATTAAACAGTCTAGGATTCTGATGTAAGCATACCGAAAGGTCACAACACGAGTCATGTAAATTTCACAATAACAAGTCATTTAAATTCTGTTATCTAAAGAAAGTTAACAACTGCAGAATAGTTAGTATGGATTTCATCCGTTCGCCTAAGGATTTATGAAGTCGCTCTCCCTTCGTACATTATGTTTTTTTTCGAAAATATAATTTGACGGCRACAAAATAGCAGAAACCTTTCAATTGTTTAAAGAGAAATGACTKACCTTACCTTGATATGCTGGTATAGTGTGATTAAAGAAAGCCCTTAAGCATGTATATATACCTGACATCATATGATAGACCTATGACATTCTTTAACCAATCACGATCTTACTTTGTCATCGGGAAACCACCTCGCTCATTTCTCAGAAAAACCACAGTCATGAGACTTCAAGCATATTTTTCATAATTGACAAGAAGTATTGAATTGATGTTCAGCTGTTTATGCTGATTTAATGTATACGTTCATTGGATTATTAAAATATTTATTTTTGTGAACGCAATAAGACAATACGAAAAGTTGCTGAGGTCGCTAGTCAAGGGGATTCCCCATTACATATGTCACAAGCCYGTCACAGGYATTTGTCATTTGAATTACAATCAAAAATTCCCCGAAACCGCCCAATAAAGGTAGGTTCTTTCTTAGGAATGGTATTCTAGCCGCTAATGACGCCGTGTTTTRGTGAAGTGTATCATGGCATTAAGTATCGAACGTCCTATAAAAGCTGCACAGGACGAAACGAAATTAACGTTATAGGTGGTCGACGATGCTTTGAAAGAACATTAGTGTGATGTCAACACACTAGAGTGTGTGTTCAAAACCCGTCTGGGAGGGGGTAAGTAATCGAAACMCCTGAATCATCCCGGAAGCATGATGGAAAACAAAATGGCTCATGAGTTTGGTCCACAACATGATGACAATCTAACAATTCACTGACTCACAAACATTAT